GAGGCAGGGCCTGCGAGCTGGGGCCATCCTCAGGGCCCAGGCAAGGGCTCTCCTGCTGGGACAAGTCAGAGACCAGCACGGGTGCTGCCTGTAGGTGGGGCATCGGCCTCGGGGTGTGGGACCCGGAGGGGGCGGGACCTCCAAGTGAGGCCAAAGTGAAGGAAGAGAAGGGAGAACAGTTTGGGGCAGGCTTGCAGGATGGGGTGGGACCTGCCCAGGGAGAACCGGCAGGCAGGGGACCTGCAGAAGGTGGAATTAGGGAGTTCCTCCCAAAGAACCTCCTGTGGGGGCGTGGAACCATCCTCAGGCGTATGTGGGAGGCGAGACAAGGGAGGGGTCCTTTAGAGAGGTGACCCATTCCTCCTTAGGAGCTTCCAGAAGGCAGAGTCCACCAGACAGGACCTGGGGAGGGGGTCTGGGGGAGCAAGTAGGGAAGGGGCTTGTTGGGGGTGGGACCCGAAGAAGGTGGGGCCTGTAGGGCAGGTGTCTTGTTTGGGGCCACGAGGGAATCTGCTGACACGAAGCATGGAACAGCAGGTACTGTGCAGGCTCTTTACCTGAAAAACTGCACTCATTTCCTAGAAGAGCCTGGAGGTAGAGGCTCTTAATCCCCATTTTACAGAGGAGGAAATTGCAGTCCCAGGAGGTGGGGCCACTTATCCAGATCACATGGCTTTAACTTCCTAGTCTCCTGGGCCCCTTGGGATCCCCGATCTCCCTCCGATGGCGATCCCCCTCCGATCCCCCTCCGATGGCCAGCACAAGGTTCTGGGGTAACGCCCTTCTCTCTTCCCTTCCGTCCTGCAGGTAATGAGGATGACCCTGAACACCATGACCTGGCGGCGGAGGGAGATGGTGCGTTGGCTGGTCAGCTGCGCCACAGAGATCGGTGAGAGTCCCCGAGTGACCCTGGAAGCAGGCAGGCACGAGAGAGAAGCAGGGCCTTTGCCCTGGCTCGGGCCCGTGCTCAGGGCTAGGCTGGCAGGGCTGCAGGTTGCGGGGACAGCTGGACAGAGGCCTGGAGGCTGACCAGGCTGAAGTGGCTTGGAGAAGGGACAGTCACCCTGAAGTGTAGTCCCATGCATGCTCTTCCCACCCCTCCCAGCTGCCCCCTGCTCCTTTGGCAAGGTGAAGTGCAGTTTTTGTCAGGCCTGGGGTGGAAGCGGCGGGGTGATGTCTTCAGCCCTGGCTGGTGGGGATGGCGGTGGGAGGGACAAACCCGTGCACACCCATGCGGTCCCCAGGCCAGCTTTGTCCTCCTGCCTCCCCCAGGCCCACAAGCCCTGATGAATATCATGCAGAACTGGTACTCCTTATTCACACCAGTGGAGGCTGCCACCATCGTGGCGGTGACGGGCACCACACATGCCACGCTGTCGCGGCTGCAGCTGGATGCTCCTCGGCGGGAGGAGCTCTGGGCCTGTGCGCGCACCCTGGCCTTGCAGTGCGCCATGAAAGACCCGCAGAACTGCGCCCTGCCCGCCCTCACCCTCTGCGAGAAGAACCACGCGGCCTTCGAGGCAGCCTACCAGATCGTGCTGGACGCTGCGGCCGGCGGCCTGGGCCATGCCCACCTCTTCACCGTGGCCCGCTACATGGAGCACCGCGGCTTACCGCTGCGGGCCTACAAGCTGGCCACGCTGGCCCTGGCGCAGCTCAGCATCGCCTTCAACCAGGACAGCCACCCCGCCGTCAATGACGTGCTCTGGGCCTGCTCGCTCAGCCACTCGCTGGGCCGCCACGAGCTCTCGGCCATCGTCCCCCTCATCATCCGCAGCATCCACTGCGCCCCCATGCTCTCCGACATCCTGCGCCGCTGGACCCTCTCAGCACCTGGCCTGGGGCCCCTGGGGGCGCGCCGGGCCGCCAAGCCGCTGGGCGCCGACCGGGCGCCGCTCTGTCAGCTCCTGGACGCCGCGGTGGCGGCCTACATCGCCACCAGCCACTCCCGCCTCACGCACATCAGCCCGCGGCACTATGGCGACTTCATCGAGTTCCTGGGCCAGGCCCGTGAGACCTTCCTGCTGGCGCCTGATGGGCACCTGCAGTTCGCCCAGTTCTTGGAGAACCTGAAACAGACCTACAAGGGCAAGAAGAAGCTCATGCTCCTGGTACGGGAGCGTTTCGGCTGAGGGGCCGCGGGCGGCAGCGGCGGGGACCCCCTTCGCCCCTGCTCCTGTGGCACCAGCTCTCTCCATCAGGGGCCTCACCGCTGGAGGCCTGTGTGGCATTTCAGTATTAAGTCAGGGAAGGGGCTCGGCCGGAGCTAGGTGGTCTTGCCTGCTGTCCCCCCAAGCCCTGCTGGAGGAGGGGACATGGGGTGGGGGGGTGACGCGTCCTGCCACGTGCGTGCCTAGGAGTGTGCGAGCGAGTGTGCGAGACGCAAGGATCAGAAGCCATACCACCACCCAGAGGCCTGGAAGGGAGTGTGTGCTTGGGCAGCCGGTATGACCCCGCCTTGGGCACCCCAAAAGCAATAGGCAGGCTCTCCCTCCCCAAATTCACAGGCCTGGCTTGGACTGGGGCTGAGGGTGGGGGCTGCGAGGCAGGACTCTCCAGAAACTGGCTCTTAAAAGTCAGTTTAGCAGACCCTCCCCACGCCCCACTCTGAGTGGCCCACGGACTTGGTTAGGGACTTGGTTAGGGCGCCTACATCTCCTTTTATACCCTCCCCTCACTGCCTCAGGGGCCCCATTCCGCAGCCCTGTGCCCGAGCCAGGCTGCCCAGCTGGTACCGATGGCTCATCCCCACTGAAGGATCTAAAGAGGCCTCAGGCCTCAGCCACATACCTCACCCCCCTACCCCCACCCCGTCCGGCCAGGACTCCCAATCCTGAGGATGCCAGGGTCCCAGGGCAGCCTCGAGGGGTCACTGCTGTCCCACCCCCTACCTGCTAGTCACTGGACATACAGCTCAGGAACTGAGCCGGGCTCATGCTGTCCTCAAACCTGGTGTTGGGGGAGACAAGCCCAGGAGAGCCAGGGACCCCCAGCCCAGATCTGGAAAGAAGAGAGGTCGGCATCTTGGCTGGCTCTGGCTCTGGCTCTTTTTCCTCCTTTGTGTCCCTGATCCACCCCTTCATCTTACTCTCTCTTCCGGGATTTCCCTCTATTTTTCCTTTCTATTTGTGGCTCTGAATATCAGCTGCTGTCTCTCGCGTCTCCCTTGCCCTGTGTTGGCCCGGGGAGGAGGGAGTGTCCCACCCCCATCACCCCCCTGTCTTTTCTTCTCTTGTAATTAAGGACAAAATCATTGTCATTTTGTAACTTTTTTTTTCTATTTATTGAACCGTATATTGTATTTCCTTTTTCCTTTTTTTTTTTTTTTTTTTAATACTGAACATGGCTTTTGAGAATGAGGTGTGTCCCGACCCCAGACCAGGACCCTCTGGTCCCTCCATAGAAAACCTCCAGCCTCAGCTGCTCACGGCATAACTCCAAGCGAGGGGTGGAATGGGAGCAGCTGGTTTCCCCCAGTGGCGGTAGCGTAGACATTAGCACGAAGGGCAAACCCCAAGAGGAGCGCTTTATACCTGCCACCTGGTACAACACCCGTCCCAACGGCCCTACAAGACGGGAGGCCATCCTTTCCTTTTTACAGACGAGAAGACAGGTGCCAAAGTGTAAGGAAAAGCTACCCGTTTTAGGAAGAGGCAGAGCTGTGCGGGAGCCACGGCCCCCGCACTGCTGGGAATGGCCACTAGGGGGCGACCTGGGTCCAGGCGCCGCTCTTGGGGGTGCTTGCGTCCAAGCTGCTGAGCACCGGAGGCCGTGTCAGGTGCTGGGTGCACCTGGTGGGGAAGACGCCCCCTCCTCCGCCACCACCACACGCTCACCGGACGCGGGGCTTGGGCTGGGGCTAGGCCTTGGTGGGCGGGCTCCGGCGAGAAGGCGGGCGGGCGTGGTCGGGGAGGGCGCGGTCCGGGCGCGGCGGGGCTCCGCCGCACCGGGGGCCTTCCAGCCCCCAAACTGGGCGCGGCGAGCGAGGCCCTGGGGGCTGCGGAGGAGGCCCTCGGCTGCCTGCCTTCCCCGGGGACCTGCCTGCCTCTGGAGTGACGGCTGGGCGAACAAAGCGTGTCTGGGTCACTCTCCGGGCCGGGGCAGGCGAGGACAGGCTTCCCGGAGGGGCGGGGCCGGCCGCTAGCGGGAGCCGAGGCGGCGCGCGCACTCGCGGGCGGGGCGTCGGCAGCGCTGGCCACAGCGATTGGCTGGTGGCGCCGCCCTCCGCCCTAGAGGGCCAATTGGAGGCGGGCCCATCTGCCCCGCCTCGCCTGTGCCCGCAGGTATGTGCCGGCGGACTCCAGCTGGCCGGCGAGCTCCGTAGCGCCGCCTAGAGGCCTGACCGAGTGGAGGCGGCGGGCGCGGAGCGCTTGGCATTTCCTTCACCCTTGTCTGAGCTGCCTGCAGACGCGGTCCTCGGGCTTCAGGGGGTCCCCCCATTAACTGTGCCCCTCTGCTCTCAAAGTCCTCCAAAACACGTCCCCCTTGGGCCTAGGGATTCTCTCGGGACACAGGCACAGCTCGAACCCAAGTTCCCCGCCAGGATTCTCAGATACCAGCACCCCGAGCTGTCCCTTGAGTCTCAGCCACCCCCAGCTATCCCTAGCTCAACATCCTCAGGTCCCAGCCATCTCTGAATGCCCAGCGTTTCCCTCAGGGTCACCCTCGACTGCCACCACTGCCAGGTTGGGTTGGGTTCAATCCCCCTCAGCCCTGGGCTTGGGACATTCCTCATATGGCCTCTGTCTGGGGTCTTTCCCAGAACAGTGCTACCTGTCATTGCATCTGCCCTGAAAGTAAGGATTTCCCTCAGGGTCACCTTTCCAGCCTTCTCTGCCCACATGACTAAACGGTGGCCTTTCCTCAGAACAGGTGGGACAGGGATGAGGATCTGTGAGGTCAGAAGGTCAGGCTGCAGAACAGTAAAATGAGGACCACCCACCCTCCCCACCCAAAACTGCAGGGATGGGAGGAAGGAGTAAACCATAAACTACCAGACCTTCAGGAATGAGGCAGGGAGCAGCTTTTATTTAACTGGACAACAGGAGCCACACACAATACAGACCCTGCCCCAAGCTTGTGTCTGCCCCCACCCTGGGTGGGCCACCCCTGACAGCCTAGGGGGCTTCTTTCTGCTTCCCCAGTCTCCCTCTAAAAAGAGCCCATCCCATCTGACATGGGACAGAGCCTCAACTCTTAAACACCCCAGGATGTGATTTGTGTTTTTTCTGGGCCCACAGGGACCTTGCTCCCTGCCCTACGTGCCAGGAGCACGTCACAGCTCCAACCCCCAAGTTAGGAAGCTGCTGGGCTCGGGGAGAAGGGGCCAGGCACACTCAGGTCAGGCCAGCCTGGTTCCGGAAGCTGGAGTTGGCATTTAACGGTCTGGGGGCCAAGGCAGCTTCCTCTTGGGTAACTGGCTGCCGGGAAGGTATAGGCCTGGCCCATGCCCCACCAGGCCTGGGGGAGAAAGTGCCAAGGCTCCAGGCTGGGAGGGGAGGTCTATCTGGCGGATGGGGGGTTGGGCGGGGGCAGATACAGCTGATTTTCCTTTCCCATGGAAGGGCCAACCACCCACCTGTATATTCTGCCCAGGGTAGATCCAGGGATAGGTAGGACTGCACAGGGGTGGAAGGCTGCAGCAGACAGCTGGGCCCGCCTACCTCATCCCAAGCTACATCCCTCCCCGCAAGTCCCGCCTCCAGACACAGGTCTGGGTCAGGGTCCTCATCGTTCCCCCAGGCAGCGGCCCACCCAAGGAAGGCCGGCGCCACAAGCTCCGAGGGGGCTCGACTCCTGTTCCTGCTGAACTGAGCCAGTCTGCACAAATCAACTGTGTTTCAGCTCAGTAGGCACGGGAGGCAGAGCCCAGGGAGGCCCAGACAGGCGCAGCGGCAGAGCCAGAGGAGGCGGGGTCCCGGGGGGCGGAACTTAGCCACTGTGAACACGACTTGGTGTGGACTCTGCTCACAAGCAGCTAAGCCCTGCTCCCCAGGCCAGACGAAGACAGCAGGGGCCTCTCTGCCATCCACCCCCACCCCAGCCTCATCCCCATCCCCAGGCAGTGTCCTCAGCAGTGGCGGCAGCAGTGGTAGTGGTGGTGGTGGTGGTGGTGGCAGCCCCAGAGGCAGGGCTCAGGGTCGGTTGGAAATCCCTGGCAATGTGATTTGTGACAGGCAGCAAATCCCATCCCCAGGAACCCCAGCCGGCCATGGCACAGGGGTGGGGGGGCACCGGGTGGGGCCAGCAGCTGGCACCTGGGGGAGAAAGAGAGAGCAAAGGAGGTAATGAGATTTGAAGACATCTGTCCTCCAGGTCACCTGCCTGCCGCTGCCCACTGAGGGAAGCTCTTCTCCAGAACCACACGCAGGGAACGCTGTACCACCAGACTGGACGTCCCCGACACGGCCATGCACTCAGTCCCAGGCCCGAAGACGTAGAGATGCCCAAAGGATCCCTTTGGGCTAAGAAGGCTGCAGGGACTCCCAGAGCCAGGTCCCCCCCTTCCCCCCCACCAGCGAGCCCTGGTCGGGCTAAATGGGGCCATGAGGAGAGGAAGTCGAGGGGGTGGCGGGCAGGCGGGTGAGGAAGTGATCTCACCCCAGCTGGCGCCACTTCCTAGAAGCCTGAAGGGCAGGAGGAAACCACCAGGGCCTCCCCCCCGTGGCCTGGTCTCCTCAGTGGCCAGGCCTCAGTCTGCACCCCACCAGAGCGGACACCAGCAGTGGGTGCCCCGCTCTTCCCTTGGGCACACACAACCGCAGAGCATCAGACTGGGCTTAAGGTGCAAATCCCCACTCGGCCATCTCCCAAATGCCTTCCAAGCCTCAGTTTCCCCCTCTGTAAGACAGAGCCAAGGGCCTCAACTGCATATCACGGGGAGGTTTGGCCAAGAGCATATGTGTCATTTAGCAAGTGCCCAGCACCAGGACCACCTTCCAGAACTTCCAGGACTCAGTGCAAAATGCAACTGTGGGGCCCCTTCCCAAGCTAAGAATGTCAAGAGGCTGAAGCAGAGCATTAATCCAAGCTTCAGGTCCTTCTGAGCAGGAGAGACCCTGTGAGCTGCACATTACAAGGCCATGAAGCTGCTCTATGTTCAGTAAATGGAGATCTCCGTAACGGTAAGAGCCCTGTGGCTAGGACACCCCAACTCTGAAGCCAGTTTGGGCAGATCTGAACCCTGGCTCTGTAGCTCTGTAGCTGGGGGACTCCTACAAAGTCACTCAGCCTCTCTGGGTCTCCCTTTCCTCGTTCGCAAAGCGGGGATAATGTCGTGGTAAGGATCTCAGAAGTGATACGTGTACTCAGGACGGGGCTACGCTGTCATCACACAGAAACAGAAAAGATGGTGGAAACGAAGACTCCGAACACTGGTGGGACCCCAGTGCCCAGAGCTGGTGGCGCCCACCACTGGGAGACAGGTGGAGCGAGGGGTCCAGCTCCATTCCCCCGATCCCTCCCATACACACAAACACAGACACTGGCCACCCGCTCTCCCATCAGGCTCCAGCCCAACCCTGTCCCCTCGGGGTCTGGGGGCACCAACCGGGAGCAGACAAGGCCCTGCAGGGCGGCCGGCCTCCCTGGGCCGCCTCCGGAAGTGAGACAGCACATTCGTGTCCCAGGGACGAGAACGGGAAGGGCGGCCATTTGGCCAGGCCCGTTTCCTGTGGGGTTTCCCCTGCACAGAGCCCCGGGCCGGGGCCAAGGCCACTCCCCATCCCCAAAGGCACAAAAGGCCCGGGTCTCTCATGGATGGGGCACTGCCACGCAGGTGCCCCGGAGCCAGGACCCCCGTTACCAATGGTGCGCCCCTCGGGCCCACAGGAGATGGTGTCCAGGGAAGGCCAAGTTCTTGGCAGCTGGAGGCGTGGGGAGAAGATGGGCCCCTGGGCCGAGGGAGCAAAGCAGGCCCCAAGCCACACGGACGGATGGACGGATGGATGGATGTACGCGTGTGAGCCGGAGTGCGCTCTGCAGACAGGGCGTGGGGGCAGGAGGCAAGCCGGCAGGAGTACTGCCCCCCCCCACCCCGTGCTCCAAGAATGAATCAGGGGCAGCTTCCGCCGGGGGCGCCACCACCACCGCGCCCCCAAGCCTGGTCCCCAAATACTTTCCACCCTCTCGGAGCAGCTGGGATCGGAAAATACCAAGGGCTGCAGGCCCCGCCCTGCCCGCCACCGCCCGCCCTCCCAGCCTGTCACTAACGCTTTGCCTAATGGGCCCAGACTCTCCGCAGAGGCTCCCCGGCCCGGGCCCAGAGCCAGCCGCCAACCTGGGCCGCCCAGCCAAGTGCCGCCTGACCACCAGCCCCCCCAATCCGCTACCCCAGCCCCAACACAGCGACCGAAACGACCGTCCCCATGGGCGGCCCTCAGAGACTGGCACCTGGGTGGAGGCAAGAGCTGGACGGTGGCAAGTGGGTGGGCCCCCGCTGCCCACCCGGGGCTGGGGGGGAGGGGGGACACAGGCCCAGGAAGGGGTGAGTAAGTGAGCACTGAATCACTTGTTATAAATAGGGGAACCAGGCAAGTCACATCCCAGCCCCCATTGCGCCCAGCCACACCACACCAAACTCCAGCCCCTGCTTTCGACTTTAATCCCCATAGGGTCAGCCATAGAATTCCCAGGGGCCCCCAACAGCCACACTGAGAGCCCTCCACCGACGGGCACACCCTTCTACCATGTCCACCTCCTGCCGCGTCCTCCCAGCTCCACGTCCTGGCCCTGGCCTGCGTGTTGGGGGGCTGCTGGCCTCAAGGCCTGGCGCTGGCTTCTGGGTCCCGTCCCCCTTCCTTTAGCGCCCCCCCACATTCCCAAGCCCAAGGCTCAGGGCCCCCAGGATCGCCAAGGCATTCTAAGGGTGTGGGTGACCACAGTCCTGGCTGGAGATGCCAGACCCAGGCCAGGGGAAGGCCAAGGGTCTTAGAGTCTCAGAAGTCAGCTTCGTGGCCGCTCGCCCCCCGGAGCCCCCATCCCAGACCACCCAGGCCCACTCTGCCCAGGGCCACAGCTCAGTGACCACACCCAGGGTGGCGCCAGCACCAGCACCCTGGGGCAAGGCGCCGCTCGAGCATGACTCAGCCGTGCCCAGCATGGCGGCGCCCTTCTCTGCGCAAGGGTTCCCATTCGCCCACGCCCACTGCCCTCCACGGCCGTCCTTCCCAGGTGACCAGCCCTCTGCAGACACACCTCCTCGTCCACCCAGGACACCCGAAGGCAGGAGACACGGTGCCCACAGTGCCCCAGAAGGCAAGGGCCCGCCACGGGGAGGCGAGGTACGCCGTCTCTCCGCTCGCTTCCCGACGCTCCCCATTTACAGATGGAGAAACCGAGGCCCAGAGGAATTCGGAGCCAGGCCCAAGGGCATGCAGCAAATCTAAGGAAAAGCCAGGTCTACTCCTGGCAGAAAGTGCATCCACCGTGAGGAGGGGCTGGCCGGCCAGCAGCCCAGCGAGGGCGGCCAGAGGGGGGCTGCTCAAGACCACCCAGGGCTCCGGGCCGTACCCCTCACGGCGCGCACAGACCCCTCCACCGGCTTCCCAAGGTGAAGGGCACACTCTGAAAAACGCCTTAAGACCTATCAAAGCGCCACCTGGGCCCCTAGCAAGCGGGTCGCCCCAACTGTACCCACCCTGAGCGTAGGGCCAGATACCCCGGGTCGGCAGCCGGGACAGGGATCTGCCTAGCACGCGCAGAACATCTGGCCTCCACTTACAACAGGCAGGGGTGGGTACGGGGGTCCCCGCGAGGACCCCTGGAGCATCCGCCTCCGCTCTCTCCAGTGAGCAAGGGTCTGCGGAGACTTGGAGGCCGGGCCAGCACCGACAGGCCCGACCCCCCCCCCTGGACACGCCCTGTCACGCCTGTGCTCCGCGTGCCAGCCCTGGGCCAGGCCGGCAGCTATTTTAGGGCCCCCTCTTAGGCCCACAGACGAGGCCTGCCAGTTGGGGTCTTGAAGGAGCTCCCAGAGGACATCCCGCAAGGGCAGAGGGCGATGGGTGCCCTTCTGGGAGCTAGGACAGAGCTGGCACCAGGCCCTGGGGCCCGTGCCTTCCCAGGACGGCGGTGGCGTGTGAACACATGCGCACGGGCTGGCCCGGGCAGGGTGCGTGGGCGAGCGGACAGGGTGTGTCCCACATCACCTCGCCTCTCTAAGCCGGGGCACCTGTTGGGTACTGCCCTCCAGCTCCGGCTGGCATGGGCAGGGCTGCCAGAGGACACCCTTCATGCCAGGAGTCCCGCACCGCCCCCCCCCAGCCCTACCCGCATACACCAGCCGTCAGGAGTCAGGAGTCAGGAGTGGGCAGCTGGTTAGGGCTGGGACAGGGAGGGGGCGGTGACACAGAGCCAGCTACACTTTCAAGGCATTCAGGAGGCCGTGGGGCCTGGCTGGGCCTGGCTGGGCGGGATAGGCTAGTCAGTGTAGGGCTGGGGGCTTTGGTGGCAGTCAAGTCCAGTGCTGGGGTCAGAGGTCAGTGCCGGGCGAGAATGCAAGGTTCAGGTTTTTAGTCTGGGCCCTTCCACCCTCCTGCAGCCCAAGGGCACGAGGACCGCAGCTACTCCCAGGAATCTCAGCTACTCCCAGGAATCTCCCAAACCCGGCCCCCTTTCTAAGCAACCCGGAATGAGCTCTTCTGTCCGGGCCAGAGGGAGCCATGAGGGAAGAGATGGGTCCCCCAGTCTCCACCAAGCTGGGGCTAGCTGCTGGGACCCCCCTCGATCTCCTCACTGGAAGGCCTCCCCTCCACTCATTGGCTGACATGTCGAGAAGTTGAACCACTGTGTCACCCGCGATCCATGGAACTCGGGGAGACCCCTGCACCCGCTCCTCCTGCCCCATCCCCACCAAAGGCGAGATAGGCACCCCAGGAGCCCAGACACCGCGTATCCATCCCTCCTAACCCCAAGCCGGGCATATGCCCTCCCCCTTCCCACCCTGCCCACCTTGACCTGCCCCAGTCTCTGGGGGACCCGCCCTCCCCGCCAGCTCTCATGGGTCTCGGGGTCTCCGGTGGGGGGGAGTGGCTAGGGGTCCCCAGTGGGCCCCCGGGGAGGGGATAAGGGTTGGGCCGCCCTTCCCCCGCTCCGTAGGGGGCGCCCCGGGACTCTGCCGCCGCCGCCACCAGATGCACGATCCCCGCTGCCCCCCCAGCCGCCGGCGGCGGGGCGGCGCCCACCCCCTCGCAGAGGGCCGCGGACCCGCCGGGCGCACCCCCACTCCGCCCACGAGTCCGGCGCGGAAAAGTTGCCGCCGCCGCCGCGGCGCCGCCGCCTCCCTCCCGGTTCCCTCCCGACTCACCCGCGGGGGAGGGGAGCGGCGCTCGGGGCTCCGGCCGCCGCCCCGGGCCCGGCGGCAGAGACGCGGGCGGGCGGCGGGCCCGGGACGGGCCGGGGTCGGTCGCCGGCCGCGCTCCATCCCACTCACTGGCCGGCCCGCCGCGGGGCCGAATCGCTTTTAAAACCTTCGCGTCTCCTCCCCTCGGCCGGACAGGGGGCGGGCGCGGGGCGGGCGGGCGGGCGCCGCCGTCATGTGCCCCCGGAGCCGGTCCGCCCCCACTTTCTCTCTCCGTCCCCCAACTCAGCCCCAACTTTCTCCCTCCTTGTCCCGACTCTACCTGGGGCCCCCGAACCCAGCCTGGCCTCCCCCTGCCGGTCCTGGGCCCTGGAAGCAGCCCCAGATTTTAAGCGAAGGCTCTCCCTGCGGGGGGAAGGACAGAAGCAGGGGGCTTAATCCCCCCTCGCACCCCCAAACCCCTCTTGGCAAAGTCCTGCGCAAGGGCAAGAAGAGGAGCCCAGGGGGCCTCGCCCCGGCGAGGGGGATGAGGGGTGGGAGGCTCGGCGCCTGACCAGGCCCTACCGGGACTGTGTACCCTTCCCTGGGAGGGCAGGGGCCTGGGTATTCTGGGTTCCTGCCCGACACCCATCCCCACTTCCTGCAGTTCTTCCCCCCATGCCTTCCTCAACCCCAGGAAGTCCCTCCTTTTATCCCACCCAACCCTCTCCTGCTGCCATTGAAGACTCTGACCCCCTGGAGCAAGGCTCCTTCCCCACTCTGGCTTCCCAGCATCCCCACCCCCCACCTACCCAGAGGCTCTGGGAAACTCCCCAGCTCCAGCTCCTGGAGTATCCCTGGGATAGAGTCCCTCCCTGGATCCCTCCCTACTTCCCTGCCTGCGTCTTTCCCACCACATCCTCCACCGACCTCCCCTCCACCCGGAGAAACACGGCTGCATTGTTCCCCAGGACGGGGCCCTGCCTTGGGGCCTGGCCTTGTGCCCAGGTGGGGGGCCAGGAACAAAACTAAGCAAAGGAGGGGCGGGGTGCCCTCTGCCGCCAAGACAGCCTCCTTGGGCATGCCTGACTGCCACTTTGCCCTCTACAAGATGGGACAGGAGCTGATGGCTGCCAGACCACCGCCGCAGCCGCCGCCGCCGCCACCACCACCACCACCACCAGCACCACCACTACCTCTGCGGGTGGGGTTCTGGGGCCAAAGGACCCTTCTCAGACGCATATGGGCATTGTTTTGGGGGAACATTTTTCTCTGCCCACTCCTAACATTTCTGACATCATATATTTGGGATTGGGGGCCACATTCTTCACCATCCTGGGAAGTAAGAGTAATGCTGGGGCGTGGGGAACCCAGCAGCAGGCCCAGGCAGGGGACCAGAGGGGGCTGGTTGGATGCCTCTGGGTCACCTTGCACCCTAGAATTCCTCCAGAGTCCTCCATTTCCTTGGTTCGGCTCAGCAGACTCCCACCTTGGATCTCAGTGGGAATGGGGAGAGGCGGGTGGAAGCCACACCTAGCTCCCATCCCATGGGACCCAGCCTGGGGGGTTTCTGGGTCTTTCTTCTCTGTGGGGCCCAAGGGGCAGGCTGGCCCAAGTTGCAGGATCTGGCAGGTTGGGGCAGGAGGGGGCAGAGCAGCCTGTGGGGCCCTGGGGGAAGATTTGGGGTGGCACAGAATTCCCCAACTCAGGGCGGGGCCCAGAGAGGGGTGGGGCACTTGCCACATGGCCTCCTGAGCAGCTACAAAGGGGAATGGAGTTCTCGGGGTCCAGGGTCTCCCTGTGGAGACACACGCACAGGCTCGTCTTTGTAGAAATAGAAAGTGACCAAATGACAACAGAGTACCCCGTCCACACTGCGCCTCCAGAACGCTTTCTTCAGACCCCAGAGCAAGGCCTCCCATCCAGAACCATCCCTCTCTTGTCAGTAGTCCAGTTGGGCGCACATTTAGGAGAAAAGCCTCCTCCACGCTGTTCTCTAGGGATACCTGTGCCAAAGCCCCAAAGCCCCGTATGAGCCATTACCTGTACATGGCTCAGACCGCCCCCAGCTCACCAAGCATCCCTCAGCACAAGCTTGACGGGACCTCCCAGTGCCACCAGCCCTCCCCCTGGGTCCCCCCGACATTTGCCCCACATGCCCTGGACCTGGGGCTGGCCAATTTACCCAGGGATAGCAGCCAACAGGGATAGGAGCTCTCCAAACTGGCCAACTGATCCTTTGTCATGACAGGGAGGGGTAGGGGGACAGCGCCAGGGTGAGGCCAGGTTAAGTGGTCAAGTGGCACAGGGATCAAACACACGCCCATTTGTTTATTCTTCCAACATTCATTGAGTGCCTGCTGTGTGCCAGGCACTGTTCTGGGCGCTGGGGATATAGCACAGAGCAAGCTAGAAAAAAAAAAATCTTTGCCTCTTGGGACTAACATCTGGAGAGGAAACAAACACACACAAAAACAGATAGTAAGTATAAAGATAGACTGTGTTGTTGGGTGATAGGTGCTAAGGGAGAACAGAAGGGGGCAAAGGAGATGAGTATGGAGCGGGTGGGGGCCAGGTCGGGAAAGGCTACATGACATGACGAAGAGGTGACATTTGAACAAAGACTTGTAGGAAGGGAAGGAGAAGGCATGCAGACTTCTGGAGGAAAAGTCCAGGTAGAGGGAACAGCCAGTGCAAAGGTCCCGAGGCAGGGAGCAGGGACCTGCCGGGGTATCTGAGAAAAAATGGAGGGAGGAGAGGAGCAGAGTAGAAGAACCGAGTTTCAGGGGCAGCCCGGGTGGCTCAGTGGTTTAGTACCTGCCTTCAGCCCAGGGCGTGATCCTGGAGACCCGGGATCGAGTCCCACATCGGGCTCCCTGCATGGAGCCTGCTTCTCCCTCTGCCTTGTCTGTGCCTCTCTCTGTCTCTGTCTCTCATGAATAAATACATAAAATATTTAAAAAAAAAAAAAAAAGAACTGAGTTTCAAATCCTTGCTCCCCAACTTTCTAGCTGAGTATCTTTGGCCGAGTGATCACACCTCCCTGAACCTCAGTTTCTTTATCTCAAAAACCCACAGTTTGCAGCTGTCACAAGGCTCTGAGATGAGATGAGAAATGTCCTGGCCCAGGGCCTGGGGTGGGGTGAAAGTTGGATAAGCCTGTGCGCAGAGGTGTACCAGGTCTAGGCAGTCATGTAGGTCCGGGATGGGGGTGCTGGGTCAAGGGACCCTGTTAGACCCAGCCGCCCCGTAGGTCACCCCAGCTCACACGCAGGGCTGCCTGCCGGGCCCCATGGCAACGCTGCACACAGAGACATCAAACAGGCCCTGCCGAGGAAGTCCCACGTCACTGTGGTTAGGGTGGCTCCTCCCAGCCCAGCCCCCCTGGCGTGTGTGCTCCTCCTTGCCAGTCAGGGCCCCTGCCTCCCATCGCCCTGGTGACAGACAGTGTTATGGAGTGGCAGGATCCCACCACCTGCCCCCTCCCTGGGGCTCCAGCCGATCCCCACATCCGGGGAAGGACATTATGAGGTGGCCCCAGTCCCTGGCGGCTAACACTTCCATGCAGCCACCCTGGACCCGAGTGGGAGCACCAGGAAAGCCCTTGCCTACCCACCTAGGTTCCAGACAAGCAGAGGCTCCGGGGACCTGCGGGGACCCCCCAGCCTGGCACCCGAAATCCCTAGGGCAGGGTCTGGGCGTTGCTCAGGGGCACTGGAGGGGTGAGTCAGACAGGAATAGCCCCCAGGCCTGGCCCAGCCCCCACCCGGGACTGACTCACCACCCACCCAGCACCGGATGACATCAGGGCCTGGCCGGCCACCCTCACTTGGCACCGTGCCAGAATGGGGGCGCCCAAGAGGTGTCACATCTGGCTGCCTTCTCCCCTCCGACCGGGGCCTGGCAGGCGCAGGGTTAAGGTGGGGCCCTCCTGGGGGTCTCCCCCCCCCCCCCGTCATCCCATCCCCCCCTTTCCCGGGGATTTCGGGCCCCAGCCCCTCTGACGTCACTGGGGGTTGCTATGGCAACTGGCCCGAAGTTCCCAAATAAAATCACCGCGGGCGGGTTAAGTTTCCTAGGAGGCAGCCGACCGGTAAACAATGGCGGTGGCAGGCGGGGCCCACGGGGGCCGTCTCCCCCTCCCGCCCCTCACTCCGCGGAGACCCGGGGGTCCCCCGCCCGGGACCCGCGAGCCCCGAGGGCACCGGCGCCCGGATGGGGGCCCCGCGAGGCCACGACCGGGAGGATGGGGGGGGGATTGGGGGCCTCGGGGGCCTCGGCCGCGAGGCTAGGGCGGCGGGGAACAAAGGGGGGACCTGAGGCCTGGGACCCGCCCTCCGCGCCCCCCGCCTCCCCCTCCCCCGACCCCGGCCGGCCGCCAGTCCAGCTGTGGCTGCTCCCAGCTGCCTGGCTCCCCACATCTGGCGGGCCGCGCGCTCACTTCCTGTCGCCCCGGCCGCCTGGAGGGAGGTAAAAATAACCCTCCCCCTCCCCCTGCCGGCGGCGCAGACGGCGGATCCTCCCGGCCCGGAGGAGGGCGAGGCCGAGCCGCGGCGGGGAGAGGAGCCCCCCTGAGGCCGCCCGCCGTCCCTCCCACTGCCTCGGTGTCCTGGGAGGAGGGGCGCGAGGCGGGGGTGGGGGTGGCACAGATCCCGGCGGCCGGACGGGGCCGCCAGAAACCTGAGTGGCCCGGCCCGGCCCCCGCCGCGTGGAGGACTGCGGGGACTGCAGCCCACGCGTCTGCGTGCCAGGCGGGGCCACTCGCTAACTACGGAGACGGCTTACCAACAAACAAGCAAGCAAGCAAACCAACAAACAAACAAACAAAAAACCCTCTGGGCCTCAGTTTACCAATCCGTAAAATGGGACCATAGTATTCGCCTCAAAGTGCGTTGGCTCCACGTCGCTAGCTATCCCCTGCGGAAGCTCGGGACCTTCAAGTACTCTCGCCAGATAAAACCCAAGACGCCCAGTTAAATTTGATTTTCAGATAAACAAGGAATCATTTTTTAGTATGTTATGTCCCGCGCAATACTTGGGACATCTTTATACTTTAAAAAAAAGAAAAAAAAAAGAAATTGTTTCTACATCCGAAAATCAAATTGAACTGGGTCTCCTGTATTTTTATTTGCTAAATCT